GGCCCGGGGTCAGTAGGGGGCCGCATGAGATGCCCCTGGTACCTTTTTCATAGGTTTTTTTTTTTAGTTTGGGCAAGGACACAGGGGCCCCATGATCCCCTATTGCCTGGGGGCCCCATGAGTTGTCAGTCCACCCCTGGTGGGGAATGGTATTTATTAGGCTGAAACTTAGCTTTAATTTATACCCTATATACTGTATGTTCACTACTGACTGACGAAATCCTGGTTTGTCCACTCCCTCCCAAATCTGTTGATTACATAATGAAGGAGGATGAAGTAGCAGCATTGCCAAAGTCATCCTGCAACCCTTCCTTCTGTAAGAATGTTGTATGTTTTAACCAGCATTGTATAAAACAATAAAGCTGTGACTGTGTCATGTACCTTGTAGAGATTGACCTTCTTTTGCACCTCTTGTTCAATACCCCTGGTAGTGATGACAAGAGGTGTGAGGACAAAGAATGGCACGAGGGCTGGTGTAGCAGGCAATGGCAGCTGGTGTTTGCAGGTAGCAGATGACCGTAGATCACCAGGCAAGAACCAGGAACTGGAATACAGTGACACATGATCAGCAGACACTGCCAAGGACAGAGGAAAAATAAGAGGACACCATGCATTACATTAGTTGACCAAAAACACTGTAAAAAAGGAATGTATGCACATAATTAAAAAGTGCAGAGCATGATGGTCAGGAGAAGGTGGTGATGATGGGGAACAGGGCCGGACTGACCATTTGGAAACTCGGGCACTGCCCGAGGGCCCGGGGTCAGTAGGGGGCCCCATGAGATGCCCCTGGTACCTTTTTCATAGGTTTTTTTGAGTTTGGGCAAGGACACAGGGGCCCCATGATCCCCTATTGCCCGGGGGCCCCAAGAGTTGTCAGTCCACCCCTGGACAGGAGCGTAGCTGAGACACAAGCCAAAAAGTCATCAATAGCCAGGCGGCGAGGTACAGGAACAATAAGCAAAAGCAGAGTCAGGGTACTAGCTGAGATTGGTACACAGTCCAGCAGAAGGAGGCACAGGAGTGCAAGACAGGAGTAAAGTCAGAATTCAGGCCAAGGTCACAGTAAGCAGGCAGAAATCCAAAGACAAGTATGGAGCAGGCTGAGTCATACACAGGTAATCAGGGAAGAGAGGTCAAGGTTCAAGTTACTAGATGAAGACCACCCAGCAATTCATTCATGTCATAGCCCAGCTTGAATAGACCGTTTGGCGCCAGTGTCCATACAGGATGTGCGTGTGCATGTGCATACATGTTTTGTGCAAAAGCTAATACGTTTCAATGTGTGCTAATGCCCATGCAGTGAGCCTGTGCTAAGAAGTATGAGAATTATTATTATTATTATTACATCGAGTTTATATAGCACCAAAGGGTTTGCTCAGCGCTGTACAATAGGGAATGCACTGTACAATATGAGAATGCAAATGAGCATGTAATAGCCTTCTTGTTCCAACATGTACTGACTGGTTAACACTGCTGGCCATCATTGTGCCCATGTGAGTACTGTTGTGCGGGTGATAGCAGGAAACTTTCAACAGATTCACGTAGCTATGGTAGCCGAAGCTCACAAATAGATTATACTCACCAATCCTAAAGGTTCCATGCTACGCTCCAGTGAAGTAGCTATGGTAGCTTAATGTAAAAACCAGGGGCGAACTGACAACTCATGGGGCCCCTGGGCAATAGGGGATCATGGAGCCCCTGTGTCCTTGGCCAAACTCAAAAAAGCCTATGAAAAAGGTACCAGGGGCATCTCATGGGGCCCCCTACTGACCCCGAGCCCTCGGGCAGTGCCCGAGTTTCCAAATGGTCAGTCCGCTCCTGGTAAAAACACATTAAATGGGTTATTAGGGAATACAGTATTGGATTAAGGCTCACACAAATGCATGCATTTTTGTGCGTTGATGCATGTTGCACTACGGTAGTCCATTTCACCTTGAATGGGTCTTTACCGTGCCTCAAAGCATGAAAACACACACAAGCATTCTTTTTATGCAATACATTGCACTACAACACACTGTGTATTCACCTCTGTAGTTTGTTTATGTTGTATATATGCATTGGGTACCATCAGAATAAATGGCAATTTATGGATAGTATTATGTGGTGTGTGTATTGATGCCTATCATAACATGTTGCCAGGCACACAAGCTCACATACATAGGTGTGAATTAACATTTTATTATGTATTTTCCTGTAGTTAGACTTTTAAAACGTAGCAGGGATAGGTGGACAGAGCTCTTACCAAGTGAATTCTTAGGAAATTTAAGAAATCATATAAGATATTAATAAAGTCTTCAACATCTGCCAAGAAGCAAAAAAAAAAAAACAATTTTGTATGAATTGAACCCTCAGTGTAGGTCTGACATCCATTTATGTTGGCCATACTGTATCACTCAGGTGCACTATCTTCAATATTCCATATAACATAGAACTAATATTGACCACAGTTGACAGTATCAACAGTTCTCACCATCACAGAGCACTGTCACGTTGTTTTCTTAGGGTGGCGGTTTTCTTAGGTTTCCATGGAAACTGTAGGAGGTATTTAACAATGATTCTAAATCTAATCAATGACTCCTAGCCTGAAAGTGCTCCGTGGTGAAACTAAATGGAACTAATTAAATAGGAGGGCAAAACATGGGAATATATGATTTTCGTTCTGTGAACAGATGTGCAAATGAAATTCAGACACAGGGACACTTTAATAATGGACATATTGTTAAAATAAGATCCCTTACTCCATTAAAATCATAATGATAGCAGATGACACAAAGTGCTTCCCTTGGATAGAAAAAAACTGCCCTAGGTTCTCTCGGAAGCCACATGATCAAATTTTTTGGATTTTGATCATATGATTCCTGCTGAAGGAAAGGATTAGCCATGCTGGACTTTGACCTTCCCATTCAGTAGAGATCGGGTGACTAAAGGGAAAGACCTTGACTTCCTCTCATATAGACATATAACAGGGTGCCAATCAACAAAATGAAAGAGTCCATAGTTCCTCTAAATCAAGGTTTCTCAACAGGGTTCCATGAGTTCCAGGGTTCCAGAGGTTGCTAGGTTCCTTGAGCAATGAGCAATTTCTGGCACTCAGATAAGTTTCCACTGACACCATCTTTTTAGCTACCTGTAAAGGAATAATTCTTCCTAATGACCACAAGCGTAAGGAAAAGGGCTGTGTTTAACATGGGGCAAAAGGGACAGCTGCCCTGGGCCCAGTCATTTTTGAGCGGCCCAAAGCAGCTGTCCCTTGAGCCCCTTGTCTTGGAGGGTCCCGGTCCTGATGGCGGCAGAAGCAGGGGGAAGGCGAGCATCTAGGGCGGCTAGGATTGAGAGCCCGGGAGGGAGAAGACCTCCATCTACTCCCTGACCACCCGAGAGGCATGTAGCAGTGGGCGCAGCATCCCTGACAGCGGCACTTCCCAGAGCATGGCTTCCTCCAACCTCCTGGCTTGTGGCTCAGACAACAACAGAAATGGCTGCCTAAAGGACAAGTTGACCAGGGGTCCAGAGGACAAGGATGGGTTGGAGCGCAGTGCAGAGGAAGGAGCCGATCACCCAGAATGAGAATGGAACTTGCCTGCTGCTGGCATGCCAGATAATAAGCATCACACACACCTACCAGCAGATCGGGATAGGGTGGCACAGGAGGAACTGCAGACAGGGCTTGGGGTCTCTCTCCCCCTCTCACCACCTTTCTCTCTATCACACCCCTCTCTCTCACCTGCTCTCCCCCAGCCCTCCCTCCTCTCTCTCCTCCATCTCTTTCTCACCCCCCTTTCTCTCTGACCCCCATTTCTCTAACCTGTCTCTCATGCCCTTATTTCTCTCATCCCCCTCTCTCAACCCCCTCTCTTACCTCATCTCTCTCTCTCTTGCCCCCCTCTCACCCTCCTCTCACACCCCTTCTCATCCCCTTCTCTCTCTCACACTCCCTCTCCCCCCTCTCTCTGACCCCCTTCTCTCTCTTTCATGTCCCTCTCTCTTACCTGCTCTCTCCCAGCCCTCCCCCTCTCTCTCCTCATTATTTTTCTCACCCCCCTCTCTCTCTGACCACCATCTCTCTCACACCCTTCTCTCTCTCACCCCATCTCTCTCTCACACCCTTCTCTCTCTCACCCCATCTCTCTTTCCCTCACCCCCTTTCTCTCTCTCCTTCACTCTCTCTCTCTCTCTCTCTCTCTCACCCCATATTTCTTCCCCCCCCCCCCTCCTCCCATGCAGGCCAGGTGAATTGAGTGGACATGAAAGCAAGTGAGTGTTGCTGATTCCATCCCCACCCAGCACTGCTATTGATCCCATCCACCTGAAGCACTGCCACTGATCCCATCTTTCCCAAGCACTGCCACTGATCCCATCCCACCACCAGCACTGCTACTCATCCCATCCCCCACTAGGACTGCCACTCATCCTATCCTCCCTCTCCCACCAGCACTGCCAATCACCCCCCCCCCCCCACAAGCACTGCCACTGATGCCAACTCTATCTGGAACCAACTCTCTTCGACCTTCACTCACCATTTTAATGAACTCTGAAAAAAAGGACAGCCTAAGTGATTTTTCTTGTTCTTATATTTGTCATGGTCTGAGGGGTGTGGCAAGTGCATGTCAATTACGTAAATATTCAGTGCCTGAAAGGTGTCCGTGCTTTCCAACTCAGATGTTTAGGAGGTATGCATATGTACCACCAGTAGGATCTAGTGATCACGCAATGTATTCAAAGAAACCCTTGTTCTCAGCAAGATATTTGATACCCTTATAGTCTAGTGTTTAGAGTCAGATCACACCTGATTTATAGAATTATTTTTGAATAAGATCAGTGAAGCACAGTTATTGTGCAGAACTACTGAGCAGGAAGCACAGCTTGCATATGTAATAAGCATATATGGCTAGACCACATACACACTATATTGCCAAAAGTATTGGGACATCCCTCCAAATCATTGGATTCAGGTGTTTCAATCACCTCCATGGCCACAGGTGTATCAAATCAAGCACCTAGGCATACAGACTGCTTCTAAAAACATTTGTGAAAGAATGGGTCGCTCTCAGGAGCTCAGTGAATTCAAGCATGGTACCGTGATAGGTTGCCAGCCATGAAATTTCAATGCTACTAAATATTCCACGTCAACTGTTAGTGGTATTATAACAAAGTGGAAGCAACTGGGAACAGCCATTAAGTAGTAGGCCATGTAAAATGACAGAGCGGGGTCAGCGCATGGTGAAGCACGCAGTGAGCAGAAGTTGCCAACTGTCCGCAGAGTCAATAGCTAAAGACCTCCAAACTTAGTGTGGCCTTCAGATTTGCACAGCAACAGTGTGTAGAGAGCTTCATGGAATGGGTTACCATGACCGAGCAGTTGCATCTAAGCCTTACATCACCAAGTGCAAAGTAAAGTGTCAGATGCAGTGGTTTAAAGCATGCCCCTAGAGCAGTGGAGACGTGTTGTCTGGAGTGATGAATCGCGCTTCTCTCTCTGGTTATCTGATGGACATGTCAGAGTTTGGTGGTTGCCAGGAGAATGGTACTTGCCTGACTGCATTGTGCCAAGTGTAAAGTTTGGTGGAAGGGGGATTATGGTGTGGGGTTGTTTTTCAATGATTGACCTTGGCCCCTTAGTTCCAGTGAAGGGAACTCTTAAGACGCCAGCAAACCAAGACTTTTTGGACAATTTCATGCTCCTAACTTCGTGGGAAGAGTTTGGGGATGGCCCTTTCCTGTTCCAACATGATTGCGTACCAGTGCACAAAGCAAGGTCCATTGATGGATGAGTGAGTTTGGGGTGAAGGCACTTTACTGGCATGCAGAGTCCTGACCTCAACCCGATAGAATACCTTTGGGATGAGCGGAGACAAGGAACTAGGCCTTCTTATCCGACATCATTGACTGACCTCACAAATGCGCTCCTGGAAGAATAGTCAAACATTCCCATAGACACACCCCTAAAGCTTGTGGACAGTGTTCCCAGAAGAGTTGAAGCTGTTATAGCTGTAAAAGGTGGGCCAACTCAATATTCTGCCCTACAGACTAAGACTGGAATGCCATTAAAGTTCATGTGTGTATAAAGGCAGGCGGCCCAATATTTTGTCAATATAGTGCATATGTAAATGTATAAGTCTATACAACAATTAGATTCAGATGGAGGAATATGTCATTCTTTATGAAGTTATGCCAAAGTTGATCTTTTAAAAAGGGACCCATGCCATTTTTCTTACTATCCCATCTAACAATAACTGTACATAGAGGCTGTTATTAGTTATTTATTGCTCCTTTTTCACATCACAGGTCTCCAGCAACCTCTAGTTAGCAGCTGTTAATACTCTCTGTAAAAAATCACTTTACCTCACTTACATAGTTACATAGATAGTCTGGCTGAAAAAAAGACAAAAGTCCATGTAGTTCAACCATAAAAAAAAAGGTTATAATTCTATACCTTTGCTTTCACTGCCTTTATCCTTCCTTTTCCCATATTTTTTTATTGGCATAAAACGTTCTCTAGTATAAAAAAAATGCCTTTTTGCATTCATTTACATTGGGTAGTTTATGCTCGACTTTCACCTATGCATTTTTACATTATATGTACAGTATGACTGGCTCATGTTTGTAATAGGCCTATTATGCAGAAAACTTTCCCATAAAAATAATGAGGCTGTCATTGCTGACCTTTCCTTCTAAAAAGTTAGTTGTTTGCCTGCCGTTGATATTGATTTTCAGACTAGGGCCAATTATACAGATCAGGAGTTTCGACTTCACTCGGTGCATGCTTGTTCCATGTAAGGGATTCACTGTACTAAAGCATATCACACATTTACATGTCTTCAATAAATATAATATTGTACTGTCCTCGTAATCACAGTACTCATGGATGCATACATTTAGTAAAACTGATGCATGAAAGAGACACTATCAGTCAAATAAGAAAAAAAATACCCATCATTATATACTATTTATTATATAGATTTAACACAAGGAATCATAGCTGGCTATTACTGCTCAAAGTGAAGATTTACTGTGTTACGGGGAACATCTAGAAATGTTAATTGTTCGTAAGCAATACCATGTTGTTTGGAATCTCTCCTGAAAAATAGCATTTAGATGATAAATCATTTAAGTGAGAAGGATGAAAGCTGAAAAAAAAATCACAAAAAGTAAAAGTAAAACATTTTTATAGGGAAAACTTTATTTCATACAGAAAAAAGTAAAAACATCCAAAAATTTGCAAAAAGAGGTGAGAAAAACCCATCTCCGGAACGGTATAACAAGCACATTTTTCTTTATAGCGTCCTGTTCAAGAAGACATCACAGAGGAAAGGAAAAAAAAATAAAAAACATTGAGTACAAATGATGAATTAAAAAATGAGCACAAAAATGAATAGGGTCTGCATACACTTTAAAAGATTTTGAAAGGGGCACCATGAGAATTATTTAAAACAAAATCCATCCTGTTTAATTTAAAAAAAGGAATATGGAGATTATTTATTTGAAAAACGGAGAGGAATTTTGTCTTTCCTCTTTTTTTTTTTAAAATTTCCATTAAATCTCCCTCCGGATTTACAAAGAAAAGCAAATTCTTTGTCATCCATCCGAGGGCGTATCTTGGATCAGTTAATGCTGAGTATGCAAGACTGATGTGAGGAGTTTAACCTCTCATAACTTCTTCCCAGCCAAGCCAGACAATAAACACCCAAGAATTTTGGCCACTACTTCCTGCCACGTCGTTTTTTTTCTTTGTCACATCCGAGGAAGCTGGTTAAAACTCAGCAAAATCCTTACGGATGTCAAAGGACTATGTGACAAGGCTGAGAAATAGATATATATATATATTTTTATACATATCCAACTCCTTGGTACATCTGAAAAACCAGAAGGAATTTGAAGGTTTTATGCAAAGGCGGTGTTTAACTATAAACACATGCTTGAAGATAACACTTTTCTGCTGCTAAAGAGAGTCCATTTACAGCACAATGAAACCTTTCTTGAAAGAATAATTCAGAAAGCTACAAGGCTCCATGTCTGGTAATAATCAGAAAAGAGAAGGGGGCGGTGGGGGGGGTTGCTGTCAGATTTCCAACTGCAAGCAGACAGTTATAGAAAGAATCTTGTTTCTGCTCTGAGAGCCAAAAGCTACAAATGCATTTTATCTGAAATACCATCTGAAGAAAGGTGTTTTGGCCCAGCTCCCTCCCTCCCTACAAATGGTATCAACGTTAAGCCGACCATTTTCAAATTCAATTTTTGGACCCTAGTTATCTCCCCACCCCCTCCCAACCCCCAGTCATGTTGTTCTTTCTTTCATTTTAGAAAATGGCGTTAAATTTGAACTCCAGACAAACAGCTAAAGACGCCACTGGAATACCATATGTAGGAGCTGTTTTGGCTGTCAAAGGATTTAGTTTATTGCTTGCCCAGTCTTGAGATTTAAATAGCACAGTTAGTTTGGTGAACCTACTTTTCTTTATTGAAGGTAAGCAAAATCTCCTAGACTGTAAGCTCTAGCGAGCCGGGCCCTCTGTTTCCTCTTGTACCAAATTGTATTGTAACTGTAATGTCTACCTTCATTTTGTAAAGCGCTGAGCAAACTGTTGGCGCTATATAAATCCTGCATAATAATAATAATAGCTAGGTCACAGCCCATATATAGTTACATAGTTAGTCTGGCTGAAAAAGTCCATCCAGTTCATCCATTAAAAAAAAAAAAAGTTATAATCCTATTGTCACGGTATAGGGGCCCTGCCAATTATTAATTCTGCTTAATCCTCTCATCAATTCCTTGTGCCAAACGTCCGCAGTTTTAATTGCTGTATGTCCTCCTGCCAAAAGGCCCAAATTCAATTAACGTAGTTTCCCCCTCCCTGTAACCTTGCTAAATGTCCCCAAATTCTATTAAACTATTTCGTCCACGAGGTCCTCTTGATGTCCCCAAAAGCCTTTGTCACCTTGGCCCCCTTGCTGTTATCCCCTGTCTCCAGCCTAGTTCTCTCCCCACTGTCAAGTGACCCCCCTCCACCTCTCATCCTGCCGCGCAGGACGAGAGGTGTGGCTTTCACCACCCCTGTCACTAGCTTCTCCTCCAGTGCGGCCAGAGAGGAGAAGGTAGCGAGGTTCACACCTCTCCGCGGAGAGGTGCGAACCTCCTGCGGGGATGTTCCCAGCTGCAGCGTCAGGCTGACACCACCCCAGCCCTGTCATCCACAGCACAGGCATGGGAAGTTCCTGCGCTTGTGGATGTCCCTGGACACGAGAAGCACGGCCCGTGTCCAGGGGGCGTGCCTCATTGACAGGCGATGAGACACGCCAACTCTGGCCCGCCCCAGTTACCAAGATGACCAGAGAGCATCCTGCACCAGCTTAAGAAGCTGATGCTGGGCGCTCCAGTCATCTTCTCCATTGCGCAGCCATTGAGGGAGCCCAGCTGTGGCGGGACCTTCGTGGCTAGACTCTGCCAAGACCCCCAGCCAAGGGGGGGCACACCCAAGCCCTGCCTGAGACCCCAGCATAAGGGGGAGATTGCCTGCCTTCTGGCTGAGACCGCAGCATAGGGGGGAGATTGCCTGCCAGCTGCCTGAGACCCCAGCATAGTGGGGAGATTGCCTGCCAGCTGCCTGAGACCCCAGCATAGGGGGGAGATTTCCTGCCAGCTGCCTGAGACCTCAGCTTAGGGGGGAGATTGCCTGCCAGTTGCCTGAGACCCCAGCTCAAAGGGGGGAGACAGCACAAGCCAGCCTTCCTGGGACCCCCAGTTCAAAGGGGAGAGATTGCTCGCCTATTCTGGACCCCAACAGGTACCTGTGTCTTACTTTCTATCCCTGGGAGACCAGGCACCCTGTCGTATCCATGAGCATATGCTTTCCCCTGTTTTACCTGAACTGTTCCTGAGATGACCCCCCATCCCCCCTGTTGGATTACAATATGTTACAGAGAGTTTTCCTGCGCTCTTGGTACTGGACTAAAAGTGTTTTAGCCCCTCCTTGCTGTCCCCCTACTGGCGAGGTCACCCTCCCTGCAATTTCCCCATTGAGTGACTGTCATTTTTTTGTCTCAATAAAGCTGTTTGCGTTTGCCACCTGCTCTGTGTGTTCTGTCCTGCCTACCCTCCGTCACACCTATACCCACAGTTGATCCGGAGAAAGGCAAAAAACTCAGCAAACCATGATCCAATTTGCTCCAGCAGGGAGTAAAATTCCTTCCTGATCCCTCGAGATACAATCGGATATTCCCTGGATCGATTTTACCTATAATTGTTAGTATCCAGTTATATTCTGTGTATCTAGGAAAGAATCCAGGCCTTTTTTAAAGCACTCCACTGAGCTGGCCAGAACCAACTCTTGAGGGAGTCTATTCCACATTTCTACACAGCTCTCACTGTGAAGAAACCTTTTAGTGTTTGGAGATCACATTTCTTTTCCTCCAGAAGTAAAGAGTGCCCCCTTGTCCTTTTATTTACCCCCAGTTATACTTACCTAGGTGGATGCTGCATCTGTCCCCCACCAACTCTAAGTGTAAGAACTCTGTAATTACATGATGGCCGATTGCTGAGTTCTCACAGCCGCTGTGA